ATGAGCGACAACAAAGCAGCCAGTGTCTAAAGACAAGAAAAAAGAAGACCTTTAGAAGGACTGGAAAACTATTGCCTGAGACCACTTTAAAAGAATTACACATCTGTTTCCTTTAAAGCAAAATATTAAGAAATGAGTGATGGCTCATGACTGCACAGCTCTGTATTTTGTTTAAAATTCATAGTACTTGGGTTATGAGCATAAAAATGTTGGACAAGTTCTTCAGCTGCTTATGACAGATTGCTTTTGCAGGAGAAGTTTACTGAAAGAGTGATCTTTTTGTCTCAGGTACTTATTTTAGTACTTGAAGTGCTGACACTGTTCCCAGAGAAAAGCCAAAATGTGTGACACAAGTGAGACAAAAAGCAACAATAAATGACTTTATCAGGGATTTCCTCTTTTGTAAGGATTTATTTTGACCCCTTAGATATATCTCATGACCATCAAGGATGCCCTCACTGTTATCAGAACCCAAACCATATTAGAATATTTAAGCATTAACATTGTGACATTACAAATGTTTGTTTGATGATCATTTATGAGGATGTGTTGCTTTGCCCTACAATGTATGCCATTTGTTTCTTTAAATGAATCAGTGACTCTCATGCAAAGAAATAAGGCTGTTGGTTCCTCTTTTTTCAGAGGTAGCATACAGGACTGGTGAGTAGTGTAACTTTGTCTCCATCTAGTGGCAAAACTGCACATTTCCGCCTCTGTGTCGCAGCTCACTCTTTACTTTTACCCTTTAACACTTCCTTTAACTGTCTTTTCTCAGCAATTTATTGCAACCTTTTTTGCTAGCTGCTATTAACACTTTGCTAATAGTGTTTAGTGTGTTTTACAGTGTTTTACAATTGGTGGGCTTTGTGTTTGGCTTTTTTTTTTGCTTCTGGCATTTTAGGAAAAATTACAGATGTTGAATGTCTTTATTTTTACAGTGCGGGAGAAAAGAAAGAGTCTCTTCATCAATAATGTGAGTGCAATTTTTCTGCAATTTTTTCTTCTTATTTATTCTTTTTGTGCACGTTACCCTTGCATGCTATAGATGACACCAAAACATGTGAATTCTAATAACAGTCTTTTGTGTGTGTGTGTTTGTGTATTTGTAGCACGGAACTTTGAGGCGCAAATACAGCTCCTGCTCCACCATCTTCCTGGATGACAACACAGTCAGCCAGCCCAACCTCAAATACACCATCAAATGGTTGTAACACCAGGAAGGAAACATTTGTATTTTTTTTAAACCTACATGCTTTTCTGATATTAATATAAACATTTCTTTCTGTCTACAGTGTAGCATTGGCAATATACTACCATATAAAAAACAGGTAAGGATTCTCATGTTACCTAAAGACTGCCAGTCAATATCTGGGCATCTGATATCAAGGACAATATATTCAGTTTATCCCAAAATCTAAATGCAGAACTGCTGCCTATTCTGGATGGTTTATTTGTGCTTCTCTTTGTCTTTTTTAAGCTTTTTATGATGAATGCACAAAATTACAACTAAAATTCAGCACAGTTTGAAGTCTGTACTTATGTTTAATCTTCTCACAGTGTCAAGGGTGTCTGGACTGTTGAAGGATTCAATGTGAGGGATGCAAGACATAAGA